TCCTGAAAAATACCAAAGATATTGTCTTTTCTCATAAAACACCCGGTGGGGTAGATATCTACAATTGGTTAATTGATCCACCACATCCTATTTACACACAAATACCCTCAGCCGACCTCCCTTTGGACCTTTTGAATCACCAAATTGGTGATGGACACCACTATTGTCTCCCTGGGAGAATACCACTCCACTACCAACAAGAACAACCCCAACAAGATCAGCCTGCGCATGAACCACCACCCCTCATTCCTGAACAACCTCAACCACAACCCAATGCTCACCAATATTCACCATTTGAGCAAGAAATGCTAAATAGCATGAATGCTCTAAACCTTAACTACACTCAACTTCGGGAGGAAGTTGTTTCGTATAGAACTGAGCAAAGACAGAGCTATGAGAGGATCGAGGAGCAACGGCAAGCGGACTGGCGGAGATACGAAGAAGACCGGCGGAGAGATCAGGAGGACCAAAGGAGGACTTTTGGCCCTATCTACTCCTATGTAGCACATCAGGGTGCCTTTGCCGCTATGACTACTCCTCCTCCGGCACCCTCATGGTATAACCCCACTGAATGGGGTTATTTTGGCGGTTCGAGCTCTAGTGGTGGAGGCGGGGACGACGGATACGGTGGTGATCGCATGGATGAGGATGCACACTTTGGGGGCTACCAGGGCCATGGAGGATTCTATGATGGCGGAGATGCAGGCGGGCACTAGGGACTGTGCCATGGACTAGCGGTGGGGGAGATCTGTCCGGTATGCTCACATTCATACTCTTGATTCTTGCTTTTATTTTATTTTTAAAAAAAAAAAAAGAAGAAAAAAAAAAAGAAAAAAAAAACACAGCTTGTTAAGTTGAAAACCCACAAAGGGCAGCTTAAGCAAAAATAAAGCAAAAATAAGAGTGAGTCTGTGAGATTTATTGAAGGAAAATGTGGGAAGCTGGGTTGAAAACCCAAAAGGGCGCCTAGGCAAAATGAGAGAATGAGAGAAAGTATTTCTTTTGATTTTGCAGGATCCTAAGGGTGGTTACTAAAGGAAGTTCATTGCATGAGGAAAAAGAAATTGAAGACCCCTTGATGTATTCTTTTTATGTTGGGGATACTTTGTGATTATCTTGGTTCTAAGAACACTTTGTGATGGATGATGATCTTATCATTTGAGGATTTTTTTTGGATTGCATTTACTCGAGACGAGTAAAGATTCAAGTGTGGGGGTATTTGATATGCACTAGTTTGTAGTGCATAAATGTATGTTTTTATATTTATTCTGTGTGGATTGTTTACCGTTTTTAGTTAGTTTTTAAGCAATCATCTTCATTTGTTTGTAATTGATTTTAATCATTTTTAGTAAGTTGTAAAGTAGTAGTAGAGTTATTGGCAAGGAAAAGAAGTGAAAAGAAGAAGAAAAATACCCAGGTGCACAGACCCGGCCGGGTCAGACACTTCACCCGGTCGGGTCTGATTTAACAGATGCAACTACTCAGGAAATTACATCACCCGGTCGGGTGAGGTATTTCACCCGGTCGGGTCCGACTTGACCCGGAACACCAGAACGTGTCGAAGATCGCCAGAACATGGAGGATATTTGATTTTGACATGCACCCGGTCGGGTGAGCACTTTACCCGGTCGGGTACCCGGCCCAAGGTGTTGAAAAACACCTATAAATAGCACACTTTTCCTTCACTATTTTTCATCCCTTCTTCCATACTCTTAAGCTCAGTTTAGAATAGTATTTCTTTTATATTTTTATAGCATGTTTAGTCTCCAAATGAGGGGCTAAACTCTTCCATCTTGGTTTTGCTCCTTTGAAGCTTAATGAATTTGTAAGTTGTGAGTTATTATCTTTAATCTTCTTCCTTGAATATTAATTCTTTCTTTAAATACTATTTCTATATCAATGTTGGGGAGTGTTACTAAGATGACAATTAGTTAACATCTTGACATTAGTTATAGTAATAGTTATTTCTTCCTCTACGTTAATATCGGGGAGTGTTACTAAGATGACAATTAGTTAACATCTTGATATTAACTATAGTAGGATTCACCTTCTTTAATATTCTTTCTTGAGTATTAATTAATTCCTATTCATATTTCATATTAATATTTTGAACATTACTTAAAGGATCAACTAGTTTTGTTTCATATATTAATTAATACTAGAATCGGTCGATTAATACGCTTGTTATTAATTCGGTCCTTTCATGGTAGTAAACCTGGATTATTAATGCATGCATCTCATGGTTAATAATCTAAGGGGAATTAATTATATTGATTAAACCAATAAACCGCTTGTGTTGAGGTTATCAATCTCAATCGTTTTCATCTTAAGTTTATTGCTACTATCAATTTAATATACGACGCTTGTTCTATATTGACTCGATAGTAAGTTTTATTAATGAACGCTTCTCGTTATTAATAACTACCCTCGATGAACTGGATATACTCCTCGATTGAGTATTCGAGAGGAAGATAGTTAAAGATATAACCGGGATCGACGAACATTTCATTAAGTGGATAAAAGCAAAGCCAAGTCTTCTTCTCATTAATTAAACTCATTTAAGTCATTCATCTTAGTGTTAATTAAATCAAATCAAATCTAAAAACCCCCTTTGTTACTAGTTAAATAAAAAGAGAAATATTCCTTTCCCTGTGGATACGAACCTTACTACGCTATACTACGTATAAGTGTTGTATTGTATTATTATTTTGAGTGCACACCACGACAAAGTGCACGTCAATGCTGTTTACATTTTTTATGTCTAGTTCGTAAATTTTGCTGAAATATGGACTCCAACCCCCTGGTCTGCCGACTATTGGGCCTGGACAGCGGCTCACGTACACTTAGCAGACGACATTCATATTATTATACAGTTTACACATTCACTGTATGTATTAGATTAGCATTTTATATAGTTGGGCCTATCGGACCCATATTAGTAGCCCGACCCACCATTTCTCTTCATATACTCTTATGGGAGACGTGTAAACCCTAATCAATTCATTTAACATTATACACATTCTTCTTCTCCACATCTCTTGTTCAATGATTAGGTTGCATTCTTGATTTATATAGTACACTAATAGATACGATTTTAAACTTAAACAAAAAACGGGAAAAATGGCGCAAGGATTTGAAAGTATGACTTGGAATCTTATGAATGAAACAAAATCATAGCGTTATATGTATGTTTGTGAAGAAAAATATAAAGAGAACCATACCGCCCAAGAGTTATTATATTTCCCCACAATAGCGCACACACATTCCAGGTAATTACATGGGGTTGTTAGGACCCACCCTAGAAGTTCAATATCAAGAGGAACCCCTAGACTGGTGTTTATTAGAAGGGAGTGTTGGCTGTATAGAATGATTAGAATGTTAGAACTCACCTTAAAAATTGAACTTCAATTCAGGCCGAACCTCTAGTGCTATAGCCTATAGGCTAGTCTAGTCACTAGTGTTTAGAGGATAAATTTGTTAGCGGTTGAAGTTTTTTTTTTCTTGGTAAAATTAGCGGTTGAAAATTTAAACCAACATTAATTTGAAGTATAAGATTTTAGATCTAAGGGCTTAAAAATTGATACCAATGCATCAAGTTTGGTAAAAAATGTGGAGGGCATTTTTCTAAATGGACCAGTTTTTGTCATTCAATACATAAATGTGTCATTCTTACAAGCACTTAGATCCAATATATAAATAAATGTACAGATAAATGTGTATGTATAATAATGTGTGTATCATCCTGATTTTAAATTTTAATTTGTAGCGAACAAGATTACAATATATCGAGAAATAAACATGAACCCAGTCCGTTAATTCTAGATTCAAATGATTAAAAGATGTCAACAATGCATCAAATTTGGTCAAAATGTGATGACAACTTTGTAAATAAACTAATTTTGTTTCCAAAAAGAATACTTCAATCCTCACAATATAAATGTGCACCGACATGAATTTAATTTAACAAAATTGTTTCCTTCTATGCAATTTTTTTCAGGAAACACAATCTCATAAATAACACCACACCCTATATATTGGTAAAAATTAGATAAATAGGAATCATGGGGTGAGACTTCTCCAGAATAAGAATAAGGATGAGAGAAATTAGTAAAAGTGAATTACAAAGGTAGTGTCTTCCACCATAGGATATAAAGATGAATAAAATGCTAGAAATATATTCACATATGACCAAATAAAACAAATAGAATGTATCCTTTATTTATACTAAACACACATTATGTAATTTTTTTTATCTAACTCTTAGAACAAGGGATGAGAAATGTGGTAACATATGCTTCAAATAACCAAATGTCAAAATACTCGATAGTTTAACCGAGTAATTGTAATTGTAAATATTGTCCTAATGCACCGATCCAAACCCCCTCGTGATATAGAAATTCAACGCATTAGCCCCCTGTGATTTGAAAAATGCGTCAAACCCCGTGTGTTTTAATTAATTGTGCATATAGAACCCCTTTTATGAATAAATTTAACAATTTGGAAATCACTTTTCCTAATATTCTGATTGAATATGCAAGTAAATATGTCAATTTCTCTAAATCATACGAAAATGTTAATCATTTTTTCTTTTATTTGACAATAGAATTTGTTCATATAAGGGATTTTGCGCATAATTAATTTAAACACAAGGAGGTTTGATGCATTTTTTAAATCACGGGAGGTTAATGCGCCGAATTTCTATATCACAGGGGGGTTTGGTGCATTAAACCCGAATAAATAATTACATTTGTCGGTAGAGTTTATATAGGTCATGAATCCATACAATAGGTAATGGTATTACCACATACACCATCCATCCAGTCTTGTTTGTCTCAATTATTTTTTTAATATCCGTCCCACTATATTTGGTTTTAATACTCTCACGGTCTCTGTCAATAATCCATACTCAATAGTAATGTTGTAATTCTACTTTTTCTTAGTTTACTTTCCATGTAAATTAAACTTAATGAGATGAAAAGGTACAAATTATAAAAAACTCCTAACATAATATCATTTGTGATAGGCTACTACTATATCAGGCAAAAAAATCCGCTTTTTCAATAATAGAATAAAAACAAAGTCCTCATTGCTATTAATATCTATAAGAGAATCATGGAGCTCCATTGACATATATACTCGGTTGGCACATCTTGCAGCCGCAAATAAGCGAACACTTTAAGCACATAAGTGAAAATTCCTCTTAGTGCAAAAACAAAGAATTTTGTACCTCCGGAACACTCCCCCTCTTCTCAAGAACATTTTCTTTTCCTTCTCTTGGCAATCCTCAAGAAAATAAACCCCTCTCTGTAAATCTTCAGTGAAGACAAAACCTCCAAATGCACAACAGCAGAACCCCAAAACCCAATCAGAAACCCTTCTTCTCCACACATTTACCGACAACAAAAATAGGCATAACCCCAAAACACCAAACACCATATCTAAATCGAGCTCTTTCCGCAATGCCAATGACAAGGGGAGACCTACAATGACCATGATTCCCATAATAATAACAATCCAGTTTCTTTTCCCGCTCCTCCCGCCGGAGCCTTCCCCTCCATAGACCTTAAGGAAGACGCCTCCATCCCCATTTCCACCAACAAATTCTCATATCAGTAAATCAAACGGCTCTGGAAAGATTTTGATCCGAAACACGAAGCATGCTCAAAAGATTTACTACAGCAGCAACATCTTTAGCAGTCAGCCAGTCACTACTCTCGACCAAAACATATTGTAGGTTCCATAAGCGAAATTAAAATTAGAATTAATCTAATAATATATTGTTATAAGTTAGATAATTCCCTTATTTAAGAAAACTTTTGAAAACCCTTAGAGAATGAATCTAAGCTTGAGCGTACCATTGACCTACATAGAAGTATTTAGAGGGCCAATGCATCCTAAATTACACCTTGTCATTGAGAATAAGTATGCATCAGAGTAAAATAAGATTGTTTTATATACATCACAACAATCAAACTGATGCAACTTTAAAGAGCTCTAAAATATATTCTTAAGAATACCAATATACTCTGCCAAATCAGGACTTGGAGATAAAAATATAGACTCCATAAATCGGCAAATTGGAAAAATAAGAGAATAAACCAAGTAGTTGGCTGGAATGCAAAAAAAGGAACATGAGTAGCGTTTCACCCTATAAAAAACGGGCCTAATAAAATATCTTATCTGTAGAGTGGTGTTTCAGATTATGGATTTTATACATAACTCTCTAACTCAGTGCCATTAAACCCCTGAAACATAAAGATAGAGTAAAAATTTGAGGTATACAATCAGGTATATCCATTTTAAATAAACCAATAAAAAGCAAAAAAAAAAATACAAAACGAACATAGCAAACTCATCTGAAATATGGACATAGATATATGGAAATAACATAGACTTATGTGAAATAGATTGGAGATTTATTCATCGATGACAAAAAAATGTTCGTTCCAGTAAGGTAAAATGTGTTCCTCTATCATATTGTTCATTTAATCTACTAATTAAAGGGGTATTTTTGGTCATATAGAGCTATTTGTCTTTACGTAATACAAAATTTGACAGTTTTGGGGAAAGCATCTTGTAGCTAAATAGACAAACTCAGACAAAGATTATGTTGGAAAGAATCCTTTTCCATTAACTTAACTATGCACACGAGTTTGGATTACTTATATTCCTGACAGTTACACAAAGGTTTCGTGAGAGATTGCCCTTATTGGTTAATTAAGGTATGTAGGCCTGACTTATTCTCAGCCGCGCTCAATCTTCCAAAGTGAAAAGCATAAAAAGCATTTACCGTAATGAACTTTGTGCAATGTAGAGCCTTTACTGTGTCACAATCACCATCTTGCTCTGCACTGACCCTTTGATGATCAACCAGGACAGTTAATGAAGTAAACTTTGATCTCGCTGCCTGCTCACTGTTTAAAAACGAAATAAAGGATCAAACCCCAAATTTAAATTTTATTTATAGGCTGAAGTTGCTTAATAGTTATTATTAAGTTGCCAGAAATGCATAACTTCAAAAAGGCTAATATACATTGTTATCTCATTGCTTTTGATTCAGCAAAATCAAGATTATTCTCATCAAACTCAGCTCTCATACTTTTGTATAAAGTGATTTCTCTAGAGTACAACTGAATTAGCAACCATCAACATGAAACTAACCACTTATCAATGTACAACTTCGTTTGGACAATTTCTTTAACATATTATAAGTGCATATGGGTGTGCAAAAAATTTCATACGAAATCCTAGTTAAGATTATTCACAAACAGTATTATGTGTTTAAAAGATCTTCCCTCAATTAAAGCCTAATTCTGATTCAAATATAACTAAGTTCATAATCTACCAAAAATAGAAACCATCATCAGAATAGTAGGTGAATTAAAAATTAAGAATATAGAATCTGTATCACAAATTAAAACTCAAAGCATTAGAGGATGTATTGAATGAAAACTTGAAATTAAATGAAAACTTGAATGATATCAATAAGTTGGAGAGAAAATACATACGAAGTACCATATGGTGATGAAACGGCTAATATGGGCATGAAACTCAAAAGTAACACTCCACGGTGCAGGGGGGCTGACAAGGGATATAGGTCGGCGAGCGCGGTGGAGAGCGATGGCCAAGAAATTCATGTACGGTGGTTGGAAATGAAGTGACTGGTTTGCACACTACAGTTTTGTTTTTTGGATTTCCTCTTTTCGGTGCAGACGAAAAGAAATACACAGAGTAAGAGCTGCGGGGAATTAACAGAAGGATATGACGGAGGAAATTCAACGGTACTACAACTGCAACAGAATTTACAATCTAATAACGCTATAGTGTTACTGTCACGCCCCGGACCTCCCCGGACACGTCAACAACCCGCCGTACAATACGAATAGTCAACCGCAGTCCAACACATTCATATTATACAAAGCGTCTTGAATATCATTCACACATATAACATCCATAAACAAACATAATAAGTAAATCATAACGCAGCGGAAAACATTATTTAAAACAAAAGGGCCACACAGGACTATTCATGAGCACGCAGGCTCTATAGTAAAATATCCATGAGCAAATTTATTAATGTTTCAAATAGAATGGAGGAAGCACGAACCAAGTCTTCTCTCCGAGGAATCACTCAATCAACGAGCACAGGATGCAAGCTCAAGCCTCAACCTGAAATGGTGGTGGGACGCCCCCAAAGGAGTCAGTACTCTATACGGTTATAAAGTACAGGTGTGGCAGGCATCTAATAGATACTCCCTCCGTCCCGCTAAGATTGTCTCATTTTACCTTTTTGGGAAGTCCCACTAAGATTGTCCCGTATCATATTTGGTAAAGATTGTGTGGCTCTAAATCATTCTAACTTTATTAATTTAATATCAACCACAAAAACCTACTTTTCTTAATAATCGTGTCACCTTCTCGCGTCCCAATCTTAGTGGGACGGAGGTAGTATACAACAAGTATTTCAAACACAAGACCCTCAAATAGGGTGATAGTACATTATGATTGTAACCCTAAGTTACCCCATTCGAAAATATACTTACTTTATAAAAAAGTCAAGTAGTCGGCCCGTGGGCCCATATTCATTTAGAAATCACCATTCCCATTCCCCGTGACCTTAAGCCACGACAACTCATAGAGTCCAATCCTAACACATGACATTTTATTCTAGAGCTCGGCTCTACCACATCACCATACAATTCATGTCACTTGGGTCAATTTCCTTACCTTGCGTTCTAGAGCTCGGTTTTATCACATCACCACGCAAGCCCTAGAGCTCGGGTCTAGTTATATCATACATAGACTACAAGTCTACCACCTTACCATGCATTCTAGAGCTCGGTTCTATCACATCACCATGCACCAAGGTCCAATTCTTAAGCAACCCTATGCCTAGAATTGACATATCAATAAACTACCATGGGTCATCCTTAAAGACTGCCCATAACTTAACCTTAGTCTCATACTAAGTCATTATACACACTTGAAGTGTATTCAAGTGCATTTCATACAGTTCAATCCTTAAGATCAATTCAATCAACAATTTCCAATAATCACTAACTAGTATTTCAATACTATTAAGATTATTGTTATCATACAAATACTCTCATTTTGTAATTCTCTACATATTTACAAGCATGTAGCAGCAACTTAAGTATTCAATTTCAATACATAAATATTCATTTATGTATCCACATAATCCATACATGAGTAAAATCCCTATTTCACAAAATAGTTCATCTATAACTCATTTAATCTCATATTATTCATACATCCTCAAATCATTTCCAATTTCATTCTTTGGAAACTATATCAATATTTCATCAATATTTAATCATCATAATCCATGAAAAATTTTTCTTTAGGCATTTAGGTAATCTCATGCTTAACCTACAAGTAGTAAGCAATTAGATGTCAATCCTCACCTCAAATGAGCTTTAAAACCTTCCTTCTCAATCCAACGACCAAAGCCTCGGCCAAGAAGGTTTGAGAACTGATTCCTTGCTTGGAAATGAGTGTTAAACAGCCTTCTCAAGTGCTAGTTCAACCCCTAATCGTTGATACGAAAACAGCCCCTAGAATGGGTGTTTTCCGGCTAACTCGTTTCCTAGTTTTCCAAGATTTGCTCTAGGTTATAATCTAATCTTTACATCAATACAATAAACATATGAGGACATATTATACACTTGGAGTAGTGTATAATAGTTCCACCAATCGTTCATATCATTTGGAAAATGAAAAGTAAAGTTTTGGGGTTAACACTCACTTTAGGAGAGTAAATCCGTTTCTGCATGGTTTTGTTTTGCTCGGACGATTTGGAAGCGTTCCACTACTCCGATTGATGCATACCAGACCTTCACGGATTCCTCTTCTTGAGAGATTTCTTTTGGTATCTCGCACGCCTTATTTGGATTGGTATAACTCGAGATATCAACCAAACAGCCTCAACACTCTCACTGCTCGAGTTTACAGACAGCAGTTCACTCCAGCTCGATTTTTGTATGATAAACTCTCCCTTATCGAACAGAGACCACTCAAATAAGAAACTAGAATTCAAAGGCTATCCAAGGACACCTCATTCACCTTATTTGGTCGAGTATAACTTCACTCATGGAGGGAGACAAGCAGCACCATCTTTTTGTGCGAAAATAGACTAGGTGGGGTCCCCTCTTGCTTCCTTTGTCAAGTCCAGCCCCTAAAGTCAGCTGTGGCAGCCCCCTAACATTATTTTTCTTGTCTTGCAGGTGGAAGGAAGATATGGGGCGCAGCATGTTGTTCCCCAATTATTTTGGGAGCAAAATATTAATCAATACATCCAAAAATGGAAGAATGGGTCCTATTGTTTAATCTTTTGTCAAAAGATGTCTTTTTGTACCCATTGCAATTTATATAGACCAAGTCAACTCCCTACATCATTTTATTGATCTCAAATATGTGTAGCATCATCCCAATAATTTACATGATGAATATTATAGAAGGAAAAGTCCTACTCCCATTATTTAGCTCAATAATGTCAAAAATTGGATCATAGGCATTTGTATCCTTCTCTAATCATTCTATCACTTATTTTGACATTCGTCATTCATATTATTGGACTACTAGCCGTGTGGGTCATCCCCGAGTGGGCCTACGACGCCATTCTTGAATACTTGCTATTTTTAGCAGGTTGGGCCCCAAAATAATGTTTGGGCCGCCCGTCCTTCCTCAACTTGTCTTGAAAGGTTATGTATCATTATTTGGAAAATGTTGGGCTCTTATATCCATTAATAAGGCCCAAATAAGTATTTGCAAACCCGACACTAATATACGAGTTTGAACAGTACAATAACCAATCATGTACTACGTAAAATATTAATCGTTTTACAATTGTTTGGAAGTCGGAAATTCAATACATAAACTTTGAATTTTCAGTTGAATTTTCAAGGACGTTCAGGTGCGGTGTCACAGTTACACCAACAAAAATTCTATTCCCAAAAGGGTATAACCCTCATTCACCATTATAATATTTTAGATACAAATATACGATACATTGCTTAAATAATACTCTGTAACTATTTATTGTTACACAATGAGGATGTTTTTAATTGATCTGAAACTTCTTGTCTGGTATGATCTTGTTTTTTCTTGTCATTTATGTCTCTGGTCTGGCTTGATCTGCACTAGTCTGGTATGATCTGGTATTGAAAATGGTTCAAGTAAAAACATCTTGAAAATGAATTTAAAGATATACTAATTTCCCTAAATAGGACTAATGGAAACTTAATTTCACAAATAGGACTAAATCTTAAGCTATTCACAAATAGGACTAAAGCTTAAGCCATTCACAAATAGGACTAAACATTAATTTTCTGCCGTAAATACCCCTAAAAGTATTAATTCATAATGTTTTAGTTCATAATGAAATTGTATAAAAAATAATAAAAATATTTATAAAACAAAAAATTTAAAAGAAAAAAACATTTTTGTGAAAAAATAAAATTAAAATTAATAAGAAAGTAAAAACACAAATTTAATGCCATTTTGTGTACAATATAATATAATATTTAGAATGCCTTTCCACCGCCTCTACCGCCTCCTAGCATCACCACCTCTGATCGGTGGGAAAAAAGTTATTTTGTGTAAAACAAAATTGCCATTGTTTCTGAAAATTCAAAGAAGGTGACATTAGTACTCTTTGTTAATGCCAAAATTTTCATTGAACCTACCATCAATATGGCATTACTAATGCACATTGGCATTTTTTCCGGTGATCGAAGCTAGTGGTGTCGAGGGTAGCAGAGGCAGTGGCAAAGGTCTGTCGTCTATATGTATTTGTTTACGTTTTTTTAATATTTTAAGTTTTTTTAATTTATAACTATTTTCCTAATTTTTTATTGTTTTTAATTCATTATTTTTTATTATATTATATTTTATTAATTTTATTAAATATTTATTCTAGTCCAAAAAGCCACGTGTATATCTGTCCAAATACACATAATTAGTCCTATTTAGGGATTTAAAATACTATCTATGTCCCATTTTATGTGTCTTAGTTTGACTTGACACGACTATTAATGAAGTGATTGAAAAAGTAAAAATTGTGGTTGAAATTTGAGTATAATAAAGTGAAATGGTGTAGGCCAGTTATTTCTTTCCAAAAAAGAAAAATAGACAATTATTTTGAGACAACCCAAAAAGGAAAATAGCACATGTAAAATGGGACGGAGGGAGTAGTATATACCGTTTATTGTTGTTAGCTACTCCGTAGCTTTTACTCCTGTAACTCTTCTCTCTAAAATATACAGTACTACGTATTTACTTGTCCATCTATCAATTGCTTTACTCGGTCTTTGTTTCTTTGGAGTTCGGGCCCCAACAATGTAGTTTGGCTGACGGCCACCTCCCTTCCTTTATGAAAGAACAACTCTATTATAGGTATCCCAATTTGTACCTCAATTTGTATCCCAACCTATTTTTGTGACTTACAAAAGCCCAACTCAATAAATGAATTGTCCCACTTTAATGAGGTGCTTTTGTGAGCCACAAAAATAGGGTGAGGGTATAAAATGAGGTACAAATTGGAATACCTTTAGCACTTTTCATGAAAGAAATAGACTTCTCTATCTAAAGCCATGATTCATATGACGTAATCAACCGGTTATGAATATTACATGTTGATTTGATTATGATGTTTGGTATGTCAGTGCACATGTAGAAGAACTCATTACTTTGATATGTGTAATAAACATTATATTAAACAAGATGTGTATGTGAGATTAAAGCTTATAACACGTAGTGGTGGGCCTGACCGGGTCCCGGGACGGGATTAGGCGGGACTAAATGTTTGGGTTGCAGGCCCAGTACCACCCCCGGTTTGTACCAGGCCGGGCACAATTTTTTTTAATAAAAAAATTGTCTTTTCGAATTTATTCCTCCCCCCCCCCACCCCGCAAACCACCCAGCCCCACCCACCTAGCAGCCAATCAATGGGAAAAAAATTTGAAAAAAGGCCATGATCAATCCCGAACTGATCCACAATTTCAGCAGCCCGTGGTCCGTAACCCGCCCCATTTACACCCCGTGCCCCCCCCAATCCCGACACACAAACACACACACACGCGCACACGCACACGCCCACACGCGCGCGCACTCAGAGAGAGAGGGAGGGAGGGAGGGAGGGAGGGAGGGAGGGAGGGAGGGAGGGAGGGAGGGAGGGAGGGAGGAGAGAGAGAGAGAGAGAGAGAGAGAGAGAGAGAGAGAGAAACATAATTATGTCATGTTGATTACAATTCAAAGTTGCTGTTACTTAAATAATAGTAAGGGAATTGAGACTCCATTCTATTCCATTTCAATACATTATATTACATTACATTTTGTATTGCATTACGGACATCATTCCATTGCATTCCATTGCATTACTGATGAGGAGAATTCTCATCAATTACATCATGGTAAACATATCCTTGGTGTTTTAGGATTCTCTGAATATATGCATTTTGCTGTTTTGAAGGCTTTCTGTTTTGCATTTTCCTGATTGCTTATGATATTCCTTCATCCCTATATTTATTTACAAAAAATTATCATGCCCATCTCATATATGATGTCACCGATGGCCCGTGAGCCCTTGCCCCCTCTTGAACACCACACAAAGGTGGATGAGTAGCCTAGGATGGGAAACTTGTATTTGATTTTTAGAAGAAAAAAAAATTGGAATACGAGTCATCAATTGCGATAAGTCATGCGATAAGTCAATGGGGTCCAGATGATTTAAAATTTTAGTGGATTTATTCAGCTGTTTTGTTGTTACGTTTTTATGAGTTTTTCTGTTGCTACATTTTGTACCATGTTGCTAGTTTTGTGAGGTTGGCTGGCAATTCTATTACGGAGTAGTTTTTATGTTATTATAGGTATGGGGATTTATAAGATCAACAATAATACTATACGGAGTAGTTGTTTTAAACCCGCTTGGTGGTGTTGCTATTTTAGGGTTGATTGTCTTGTTTTGTAATTGTAGGGCTATCAATTGCGGTTGGAGTAGAAAAGTTGTAGTTGATTCTCAAGTATGATATAATGATCTTGATTTAAAATATAAAAAATTGTCTAAAGGAATGAGTTTATTCCTACCAAATTCTCACATACAATAAAAGAATTTTATATTTTAAAATTCTTAAAAAATACTACTACGTATATCAAAACACAATTAGAAACCTTTAGAGACTTTTTAAATAATACTAATTGAAACGTATGAGTTTTTTCCTACCAAATTCTCACATAGTCTCTGAAAGAGTTAAGAACTTCAATTTTGCTTTCTAATGACTTAATACTGCAAATATGACATCGGATAATCGTAAATACGATTTGTCATGAGACATTTTATGATCATTAATTAATAAAGTTATGAACTTAGTTTATACTACCTCCATCCCATATTTATCTTCACTTTTCGGTTTACGATGCTTGATTGACGATAAAGTTACTTGATCCTTGTTCACACTCGGATCATTTTTATTAAATAAAATTTACATATAAAACCTGTGTGAATAATAAAACCTTTGTAGCGATAAAACTATATTAAAACCGCTACAAAATCTGATCAAGAAAATTTAAATTTGATAAATTTTTTATATATAAAGTAAAAAATTAAGAGTAATTTGAGTTGACTGTGTGAATAGTAAATGGGAATATAATTCGGGGACGGAGGGGTAGTAATTACAGTTCGTATACCATGGGATCATCCCACGGTGAGCACTGTGCTCCTAGTCAGTTTTAATCAATTTTAAAAAAAATCGCGTGAACAGTAAACGCGTGAACAATACTTTTTCCCCTTGTTCCAGACTTCCAGTAGCATAATGATGTAACTCACGTGTAAAGAAATGTAACTCACGTTATTGATGAATGTAACTCAAGTCTATTCGAAATGTGATTTGTCTAAGACATAATATAGAAAATAAAATATTGATTTCAATGGAAAAAAAGAGTCCAATGGCCCAAATATTTTACATAAATAGTGTATATGTTTTGTTTTTAATATCAGGGCTATAAAAATAATTTTTTTTTATAAAAATAATACTCATTTGAATAGCAGGGGTTTATTGGATTGCGTAACAATCATCAAACATATTTT